TATTTCATCTTTTGAATTGCAGACAATATAGTCTTAATCCAGAAAAAAATTCTTCCCTTTAACAGTTTAAGATAAAACCATCCTCTTCTTTCACCACATCTATCTTCCAAACAAGTATACTACTATGAGGAAGATGGGTAAAAGGACTAAAGGATGTAGAAGGACTAAAGGACGAAAGGGAGTAAAGGGACTAAAAGATGTAAAAGGACTAAAGGGATCAGGCTTCCCGATCAGGGGGGGGGGCTAATGGGGGCTTGCCTAGGCATGTGACAGTTCCATGTCAGTTCGAAAAACTGGAACTGTGCAAACAGTTTTCGTTTCTTTGAACTGGATACGTTGACCAGTTCTCTTCACTTGAACTGAACAGGCTGACTAGTTTCCTTCATATGAACTGGATACGTCACCCAGTTCTTTTCGCCTGAACTGAACGCATCGATCAGTTCCTTTTACATGAACTGGATATGTTTGCCAGTTGATACTTTTTCATTCAGGGTATTATTTTATGGTTAAATAGAGGAATTCAATTCTGATAAACTTCAGAGATTGAAAATGATTCGAAAGAAACTGGATGCGCTACGTTTTCTATTTTTTCAAAGGTGCTGACGAAGCTTGTTGATATTTTATTTAAAAGATTAATCGATAAAAAAAATCCAAACAGAGAAAATTAAATAAAACAGTTGCAACGAGGGTATGTTATTTTAATAAAATGAACGTTTTCTAACTCCTTCCTCGCGATCAAAAGCATCAGATTTTATCCTTGAGAAACATTGAAATTCCTAAGTTCTTGGAGGAAAGATTTAAACGGTTTTTGCGAAGAATATAACTTGAAATGGAAAAGGCTGATTCACTACCCACACTACTAGATGGAATCGATAAATATCTCCTCGCTAAGCTTGTCAATTTTGGTAAGGTATCGACATGTTCGTGCCAAAAACAATCGAATTCATAATCATCCTTCGGAATTGAAGATAACTTGGCGAGTTCTTGCTCGATGGAAAGTTCTTTTTTCGATCGTGGTTGACCAACATTTCGTGATAAACCACATTTATCTAAGAAACTATTCATGACCGATGCACCTTTCGACAAGCTACTATCGAAATAAAAAAAAAAGGCAGGTGGAAGAAAGTTGTATAACTTTTGATTGAAAAGTTATTTCGAACTGCGGTTTTCACCATTCAGTAGAGGAGGGTCGGGGGGCAGATACCTATGTGGGAGAGTCGTCATTCAAAGTATTTTGTCAAGTAGATTTTCGCCGACGAAATTTAGCATGTATTAGCGAATCTTTTTTAGGACT